CTTACTCAACCAGCTATCAAGGGTACTCTTATCACTGCATAGGTGAGGTGGTGGTGGGTATGAACAATCAGATTGTTTCCTGCTGAGGCTCCACTGTTCCCAAATTCTGCAAGCCCAGTCAGTGCTTTTTTTAGTTGTTTCTGGTATTGCGCTCTTTTGAGCTGCCAGAACAGCTTCATCGTCCTTTGGGGCAGCAAACCTAGAGCTAGCTGAGATCTTGGATGATGATGCGGCAGTGGTCGTGGTGTTGCTTGAACCATCGAGAGATTTAGAGCCGCCGTCTATGCTGCCATCGAGCTTAGGAAGCAACTGGGTGGAGTTATTTAAGAAGTCTTGGTATTGCTCCTCCGTAATTTGTGAAAGAAACTCCTCTATTTGCCTGTCTATTTCACTTGAGATGTCAGAGACAGAGACAGCCATTGTTGGGAAGATAATGTTATTTTTCAAACTGTTATAGTGCGCTGTTGCTACGCGCAAAAGCTACCATGGGAATGCATTGCTGTTGCTAACTTTTGCTAAGTAAACTATTTGTTTATTTTAGTACATGGTAGAAGTTGGTTATACAACTCTGTGTCGGTATCTATGGCCTTATCATACCTCAGGCCTACGGCCCTCGGTATGATAAATGCCATAGATACCTCCACCTCGTTGTATAACCTTTACTTGTTTACACATATACTATACCTTTGTTTTCTTTACATAATGTTAACTGTGAGTTATTGTTTACTAAAGTTATTTTTCTTTTCAATACATGTTTATTTTACTTGATGACTAGTTTCATGACTTATATCTACAAAATGATGTTCAAAATTGTCATCAGAGCAGCCAGCGTTGCTTAAATTCCTTTGATTACCACTGACTTTGATGATTTTTAGTGTCATACTCATGAGCATTACCAAATACTGCAATTGCCATTAGTACTTGTAAAAAATATTTTTTGAAAATTCTTTAAAAATACAAACTTAAATGGAATTTGCTTAAATTTTCTACATAACATAGTACATAAATATGTATCAGAAAAAAAATTTTTAAACGGAGAATTCTCTCCCATTCATTTTTGACAAATTTTGGCCGAAATCCTTAAATAGAAACAAGGGCAAGTAGGCTTTGGAAAGACTGACTATCCATACCAACAAAATCCTAAAATGAAAATCCTACTCTTGTGCTGAAGTATAATAGAGCAGTATAATTTAATACTAGTCTTGACATGACTCCTTGTTCGTTTAAAAGTGTTTAAAATATTTAAACATTTCCTAGACAGAAAGACAGCAATAAAGCTTATGAAAGTATTTACAAAAAAAACAACAAACTTTGCTTGTTTCATGATTGTGCTGCAGGTTAATAGACCACTGGAAGTGAAAATTGTTTACGTAGGAAGGTTATTAGAAATCTTTACGGTTGTAAGGCGTGGTTTAGGATGAAATAAATTCCGGCTGCCATTTTGGTTGGCAACTTTCAATGGAGAAGAAATGGGCCGACATAAAAACAAACCTGTATTAAGAAAGCTGGAGTGAATTTGACCAAATCCTTTACAGGAGAAGCTTAAAAGCAGCTCTTCTTTCTTATAACAAGCACTTTTTAGCTATTGATAGAGCTACAGCAGGTAAGTGAGACATTTTCTTTGCACCTCCATTGACTTCCTTAACAAACTTGCCAACCAAAATGGCAGCCAAACTGAGCCAATTATGATGTGTGGGCGGATATTGTATATAGAATTAATAAAAGTCATATCTTTTCTAATTCTCACTTCCAGTGGTCTATATCAGTAATAACAAGTGTCTTTCCATTCTTCAAAACATGTGCATTAACAAAGGATGTACAGTGTCCTACATAACAATAATAATTATGCTCATAAAAAAAGCAATGTTTGTGACCCTTCAATGAAACAATGGTAAAATACACATGCTAGTCTGTGTCCAGCCATGCCACAAACAAACCTTTGGTTGGGTCTTTGACTCTTTGTCCTGTCGATTTTCCTGAATACTATTTCTTCCTTTGATACCGTAATTTAAGTTCATAATACCTGAGTGCTGGGTTGATTTCCTGTTGAATATGTCCTTTTGCCGCTTCAATTGTTCTAGAATCTCTGGTATAATGAGTAATGCACTGCTCAGCCTCTAACTCATGTACAGCAGATAGTAATTCATTGTAAGAGGCTAAGAGCTGAACTCCTTTCCAACTTCAATTCGAGAAGACATTTTATTACATATGGTTTGGTCTACACAATGCACATGCGTAAGAGAGGGCGGGGCAACTTCGACACAAATTTGCAAAAACCTATAAAAAGATGCTATAATTGCTTTAAAGTATAGTTTACCCATTTTATAAAATTGGAATAATAATATAACACATTTTATTACAATGTGCAAACTTCGTTTAAGAATAATAAATTTTTAAAGTCTTTTACCAGCAATTTTTGCCAATGGGGCAATTTCGTCATTAATAGTTATTAACAATTATCTCATCAAACAATATGGACAAAGCCACATGTTATACACCATATGGACAAAGCCACATGCCATCTTCTGGTACTCCAGGAAGATTTATACATGGATAATGGTACCAATTGCTGCAGGCATCACAGCCAACCCACAGTTCCTCGTCATCATCAGCTATTTTGTATCAGAATCATTAGGCAACTGCAGCTGTGGCTGAAATCTAGAATAGTGTGACTGTGACTTACATATAGCCACTTTTGTACTTCCCAATAGTTTCTTACATCTTTCTTGTTTATCTTGCCTTTTCTTCTGCTGTTCTTCTCTTTTCCTTTGTTGTTCTTCTTTCCTCTCTTTCCTTTTTATTTCTGCTTCCTCTTTCTTTTTTGCCGTTCTTCTCTTTTGTCTCTTCTCTACTTTTCCAGTTCGTCTTTCTTCTTTTGCTGCTCTTCTTTCTTCTCTTCTCTCTTCTTCTGTAGCTCTTCTTATTCTCTAGTTTTTTCTTCTGCTGCTGTAAGCTGTTGATGCATCTCATCTGTAGTTAGTGCCTCACCATAAAATGTAGGCTTCACTTTCTGCTTATCAGTTTGATCTCTCAAGTGATCCGTCTTCTTCTGTAGTATATTGGCAAAATAGCACTTTAGCTCTAAACGGCCAAGAACTACTCTTGAAGAGGCAGGGATCGACTCCTCTATATTTGAAGCCCATTCTACTCGTAGGGCGTCAGCCTCGGCTGCAGCCAGAGGTGGAGTTACTCTAAAAGAAATCCTAAAAGCAGCAAATTGGAGCTCAGAGTCAGTCTTTCAAAGATTTTATCACAAAGAAGTGGATCGAGCGGTCTATTGAATAGCCATCACTAATGACCAGAATAGCTTGGAAGAAGCTACAAACAACACAGTTGATATGTGACAATGAGACTGTGCCTTCTGAAATATATTTGTCAGATGGCTAAGGCCACAAAGTGGCTGCAAGCTATTCTAGATTATATGAAGAAGGTGAAGTTGATCATATCAACTATCCACACCCACCCTCCCAATTGAAGGAGGAGCTAATCAAAGGCCAAGAAAGATGGCTGAAGCAGGGGCTTATATAGTGTGGCGAGTGGGCGGATGGGCGGACCAAAAGTTATTAAAATTAGTTATTTAAATACAAATTAGCTGTAAGTTAAGAAAACTGGCCAAACACAGTTGATATGATCAACTTCACCTTCTTCATATAATCTAGAATAGCTTGTGGCCACTTCGTGGCCTTAGCCATTCTGACAAATATACTACAGTGTCTTTCACCATCTTTTTTAAAAGCTTCTAGAAAGTCCAAATTCGAATCATACTAATCAGCTCTGATACATAGAAGTACTGTACATGTACATGTACATTTGAAATGCAAACAGGCCATAATTATGAATTAATTAAGTTAAAGTATTTGTACTTCACTTTTTTTAGGTATCTTGAACAATCAGTACTATCATTGGACCCACGTGATGCAGTAACTAGTGCTCATTTACCTACTGTAATGAAATTATTAGCTGAACAATTAATTAAAGTATAATAATAAATAATAATACTAATAATAATATATTAACTATAGACTGAAGAGAAGATGAAGTCTGAAGGATTAGGCTCAGCTAGTTTATTTCGTACAATGAAAACTGTTCGAATGTTATCAGAACATGTAAGCAGTTCTTCATGTGCTGGTAAACATTAGTAATATAATACGTTAACTGACATTATTTTACATGTTTTGATTAATTATTAGGCAGTAACTATTTTTGACTTTTAATGTTGATTTAACATTATTATTATTATTGTATCATGACATTTAAACTTTCAAAATGATTTTCTTTCACTGAACCATTTTACTTTTGTATTGAGTACTACTGACATGTTGATTATAGCTTTTAATGATTTTAGTGAGTTTGGTGATTTAGTTTTGCCATTTTGTTCTCACATTCCATGACACTTACGTTTCACAAAATTAGTACTATTAATAGCTCACCATTAATTTTATTACAGGTAAGCCAAAATTTGCTATCCAGTATGACTTGCTACATGTAAATCGCAATCATTATCATCAGACCATTAATTTTAGACTTGCATAATTCAAAAACATTGTATTCATGAAAATAACATAATACAGTATAATAATGTCTTGATATTCACAGACTTAAAACTTGTTTTCATTATAGCATTATTTACTGTTCTATTAACATGCAGTGTCTAGCCTTTGCAAATTATTACATGTAGTTCTCAGCTGTTCATACTTATTCACGTCTAAAGAGTAATTGCATTTTCACAAAATTAATACCACTACAAGTTCCCCATTTACTTCATGGAAGCTAAAATTTGCTATCCACCATTACCTGCTAACTAACTCACAATCATTGTCATCAGGCCATTTGGACTTTCATAATTCACCAGCAGTATCATGAGGCAATGAAGATGAGTTTTAATTTTTACAACATAGTCAAAAGTGTGGTATTCTTGAAAGTAAAATACAGTAAGACAGTAGACATGTACATGTCTGTATATTTACAAATTTGAAACTTGTTTTACTTTATAGCATAGTATTTATTCTTGTAGTAGCATGCAGTGTCTAACTTTTGCAGATTATTACATGTATATACATGTAGTTCCCAGCTGTTCAAGAAAAATGTTGCATATATAAAAGTCTAAAAAAATCATCAAAGTCATCACTATAATGAGAAAAATTAAGTGATTTTTCTTACCAACATCAGATCCACCAACTCTCTCTGTCATCCATTTTCCTGATGTCCAGAAGCTGCTAGGATCCCTTGAAGTGAGTCTGTTATAAGTAGTAGCCATTGTATCTTTTAACTTCATTACCTATCACAATAAATAATACACATACCAGTATATAATGTGGTTGTCAGAATAATTCTATTACATTCATGTATACACATACATGTATACATTGCTATACTGAGAAAAGCAATCAATAACAAGAAGTAGCACCAGAGAATCAGTAAGTACATGTACATGTACATGTAAATGTGTATGTAATGCATTAAGTATAATGTGCATTTGCGTGTAATGTCTGCTCACTTTAATTAGTCTAGCTCCTCCATCAGTCATAGCAAGAGGACAAGAGTATAGAGACCAGATGAAGGAGAGAACAAGAATAACTGCCTTTACTGGTGAAATCGCCTACAAATTAACATTAACAACAGTGCCTCAGTACTTCAATCATAATACCATATGGTTGGTAATTGTAGAGGGGTGCTAAGTTTTTAGTGATTGGTGGGTTTTAATTTGAGCATACCACCATACACATAATGATCCAAAATGACTATAATTTTGGAAAAGATTACTAGCTATTTAGTATGCCATTATCAACCTCCATTCTTAATACTTACTATCATACCTAATGGCAACAAGACCTTATAGTAGCAATAGCAGTATCATCCCACACTCCCTGTAACTGTCTCCAGTCTCCACAGTCCACACTCTCTACAAGGTTCTAGTACTCACTTATGGTGAGTTACATGTAAAACTATACACACAATAATACATGTACATTGTCTCTCCCATACAGTGTATCACTATATTATGTACCCATGGAACTCTCTCTCTCTCTCTCTAATGTTAACTTTCTCTACACTCACTACAGGGTTCTACTACTCACTAATAGTAAGTACATATACAGTATAACTATACAAACAATAATACAACTAACCTATTTTTATTTCCAGTCAAAAAGGCTCTCTCTGTACCATCAATCACACCTGCATGTAATATCTCCATTTTATCATGCAAATTATAATAAAGAAAGGCACACACATGTACATGTATACTTACTTTTGTCTACAAAGATTAATATTGTACCAGCACCTTGAATAAAAACAATCATACTTGTACTCATCCATCTGTGTATAACTATAAAGAACAACAATAACAGGTAAGCTACACATGTACAATAACACCAACACACATACATGTACTTACTTTTGTCTATACAGCTTGCTTTTGTACCAGCTTTGTACCAGTACTAGACTGCCATTCTAAAGAACAACAAGAAGGTAAGCTCACCAACATGTACTATAAGGTAGGGCAGGGCTATTTTGAGCATGGAAAATTTTGGAATTTTTGTCTTTCTCATGTTGCAGGTTGCAGCATCCAACAGGAAAAAATTTTCAAGAACTGTGACATTTAGCCTAACTATTGAAGGCATAGTCATCCACAAATGATGCAATACTTTCATTGCCACTTAATACTTCCTGAGCCTTTTTTAAATGAATTTTTGGCATTGAGTAGCAAAAAATGTCACAAAAAATTATATATGTGATGAAAGTCTAGCATACTGCTTCCAAACCACATAAAACTTACCAATGGTCTTCTAACTATTGCTAGTTGAGATCAGTAAACAAACAGCCCCACCTTACATGGACCATACAGCTCCAGCTCCATTAATAAAAACAATCATACTTGTACCAGACTGCAATTCATCTATAAAAAATGTATTATAGAATGTTAAGTATTGCCCATTATTTTACTTTTATAAACAGTATAACTCTGAAAGTTAGAACGGGAGATGTAGAAATGCACATAAATTTAGTTAAAATGGGGTTACATCCAGTTCCATGATTGATTACTTCAATCTATATACATGCCTATAGTGCATTCAATAATGTACTTCAACAACTGGAATGTTATCTTCACCTGCACATTTGATTGCATCTCAGCATCTTAGTATACTACTATTTTTCCTTCAACTAAGTTTCAAACTTCCTTTGAAAGATGCATGGCAAAATTTTAATATAAATGAAAAATGTAACTGCACTTATTATCATGTTAGCCCAATCATGTATTTGTCACATCAAAGTAACATTTCATATAGACTTGGTTTGCATACACTAGTGTAGACTGATCTACATCAATTTACCAGGAAATTCATCCTCTAATTCAATCAAAAACTTTTGATAATATTCTGCAACTTTCTAAGAAGGAGCTGTGCTGTGAATGGAGAAGTGGATTAGTTACTCTGTATAGTATACATATCCCATATCAAATACCCCAAAATACCCCAAAATTACCCTTTCAGCCCCAGTCCCTGTCCCAGTCCCGCATTTACGATTTCAGTCCCAGTCCCAGTCCTGTATTTACCCTGCCAATCCCAGTCACAGTCCCTGTCCCTGTCCCCATTTTACCAACCCCATCATCACGCAATACTATGCCTCCACGTTCCCAGGAAAGAACCATAGGCTCTCTGTCTCTCTTACTTCAGTGCTCCTTTACATATCAGTCGTGATGGCTTCATCAACTGAAGAAAGCCAGAGTGAGAATGAAACTGACCGTTTATTGTTGGAAAGTCTAAAGAAGAGAAAGAGAATGAGGGCTGTGAATAAAACTCCTTCAAGAACAAAATGGGAGGATATACAAGATATTGGGATTGTGACGTCGGACTGTAAATTCTCGCAATTTAGAGAAAATGTGCTTCTGGTAAAAAAGATTGCTCCTACGATCGTGTGAATCACCAGAACTCACTCATTTTCAACATTGCCATTCGGTCCTTGTAAAGAAATTGTGCATTGATAATGTGGGGTTTCCGTCAGCGAAATATACATTATTATTTTCTCATCTCACTAACTACCTGGGTGACGATTATAACCTGAAAATATATCCTGTTATAAGAAAGAAGCAGGATCAAAGAAGAAACAAACTGAAGTCAGATTATACTGTTATGAAATTAAGGAGCAGACGAACCGTATTGGTGTGCAAATTGAAATTTGGTATAAGTAAAGAAATTTTAGTTTTGGAAGATGTGTTTTCACAGCTCTTGCAAGAAGTTCGATATGCTTATGACACTGATATAAAAAGTTCTGCGAATCATTACAACTATATGCTAGCTATTCTTGGATACCATTTAATATGACATGTTTTGTTAATACATTGTTTTTGTAAGCCCTACACTATTGTGGATTCATACGTTATACATGTGAAAGATGTTGATCTTGGTATCTTGTGTTTTTTCCTACAACAGTGCATTACAAATCTATCGTAGTGTTATTAGAAAACTTCAATTAACATTACAAGTTATGTCATGTTAATTACATTACATTATTCATGTTAATTGTCATGTTAATATTGAGTTTTGATATGAGATGATAATTGCCTAAAAATGAAGACAGCAGCGTAAATCCTAACCTTGAGAGAGACAGAAACATTATAAAGATAGAGAGGTACATAAGCAGTGAATTGTAATATTAAACAACAATATAACTAATGCTATCCTGTGTGCAATGGCTGCATGACATTACTGCTTCAGTGACATGTACAATGTAGGCCTGGAGCATAAATTTTTGATGTGCATGTGTGCATAATGCAAATGCATTAAGTAATCAACTACATCACTGGTGTATAGACAATAGAGAAGAGTGGATTAACAGTGAAGTGTTTTCTATAACATTAAATTAGGCAAATTTGAAAATAGAGTGGAGAGAAAGCTTCAAAGAAATAGACCAAGTGAGAAAGAGAGAGAAGGAATGAAATTTAATGATGGAATGGAATGAGAATTATATAGGGCAAAAGAGTGGATTTATTAAGTATTTTCTCAACGTGTACATGTACAATGCATTAATCTACAAGTTCTTTCTAGACATTACAGCTACTGCTCTAAAAAGTAATTAAGAGGATATCAAATTTGTTAAAGTTAATTCAGTATCAATAATAATGATGTAACTCTTTATATTTGTTATTAGATACTGTCATTAGTGGAACAATAACATGCAATATAACGTTTTTTGCCAGCATTGTCAAAGTGAAGGATCAAAATTGAAGCATATCAAAAATTTAAGTATTGTTCCAGTACACACTATATGTATTAACCTTTCTTTGTTAAGGTATTTTAGAGTTATGAAATCAATTTTTGAAAGACAAAGAATCAAATTGAAGTATTGTTCCAATAGGACCAATACACACTATATGTGTTACTCTTTTTGATCAGATATTAAAATGGAATTGTTTGAAAGACTAAAGATCTTACAGTAATAGTGTCATGTATTAACTTTATCTTTGTTAAAGTTTTAGCACCAAGCTCCTGTTAAAGGTTAAAGTCCATTCTGACAGTTAGAGTCAATATTATATTGTTAACTATCATTATACAGGTTGGGCAGCAATGTAGTGCCGCCTTCACGTGACACTGCCTGGGATCACTATTGGTTACTACTGCCAGTGATGCTAAGAGCACTACATACAAGAAGAATAGATACTAACAGTAACTATGTATGATGAATTACATTCCATTGTTAGGTTAATGACACTAAGAGGATATGTACAATTCTCTGCTATTGAAGACTACATTGAGAAGTATTCTAAGTATAGTATTGTTAAATATGTTGTCATTGCTATAGGTTGTTCATTAACTGAAAACTATTACAAAATGCAAAGAATTATTTCACATTAATAATTTTCTGTTTATAATTGTTTTAGCATTGATTATTATTGTTCAACACACATTGGTTTCTTTATTTATTATTTTTATTATTATGAATTTTAATTAAAAATTTATTGCGAGAGCCGGCATAATGCAGAAGCAGGTGCTATGACTTATAAACAGAAATGAGAGTAATTCATGAACAATGACAATAAGTAATATGTGACCATAATTGACAAAAGGTACCTTATGGCGGGTAATGAAATTTGTCTTTCTAGCCTAAGAAATCCAACTTCCTGAGCCCCAGTTATCATAAAATTACTCCACAGGATGCAAAAAGTTACCATGAAACTTTTAGAAACAATGATTGTCTAACAAAGCACTCACAGGTTGATATTTTCCATTATAACGATCAATTTTAAAATCCGCCATAAGGGCCCTTTTGTCAATTATGGTCACATATATTAGACACACTTCAGCCATACATGTAGAGTACAAGTCAGCAATGCTTTAAATTAAATAAACCAGTCTTATAGTGTTATAGTTTTTAGTTCCAAAACTTGAGATGATGAGTTCAGCCTCAGGACCATAACCTATAATAAATAATAAGAAATGATTAATGATACTTTATTGATAAACATAAAGTCTGACATAGAGTTGATTCCAACAGTAATTTGTTGACTTACAGCTATTTTAAAAGTAGTAAATTTTTAAAAAGAAACAAAAGAGACAAATGCTAATAGTCCATGGTTTTCTACAAAAATCATGCCCAACATTATAATGGAGGGAAAATAATAACAAAAAGTAGTAATTTCAGCAACTTTAAAAATTTTGAATCAATTAACTCAAACTTTCTACACAACATAAGTACATGTACATGCATCAGAAATTGTAATAAAAATCGAGAGTTCTATTTAAAAATCATTATTAAAAAATCCAATTTTGATGAAAATCAGCTCAAACATTATACGCAACATGACAACATGTATAAGTATCATAAAGTGCAACAAGAGGAAAATTCTCTCATTTCAATTTTACAAAATTGAGCCATAACCCTGTATTATATTTAGCCAATTTTAGAGTAACTTCAAAAATTTATAAAAATCCATTTTGGTTGGAATCATCTCAAACTTTCTATGCAATAAAATTGAAAAAAATGCAAAATTTCCTCTATTATAATTATTTTGGCAAAATTTGTCTTGTTCTAGTACAGGGACTTTTGACCAATTTTAAAGCAACTTTAAAAATCTATTTTGTTCAAAATCAGCTCAAACTTTCCACAAGATATGAGTATAACTAATTATAAAAGTGATAAAATGAAGATCTCTCTTCTTTAATATTGGAAAATTTGATAAATGACCCACTGTATACTCATAAAACATTTCATTCCATATTAT